GATTAAGGTTTTATGATGTTAAAACCTTGTTAGGAACTTGATTAGAGCATTTTCGAGCTTCGCCGGAGTTTCGCCGGAGTTGGTCAAAGTTCGCCGGAGTTGGTCAAAGTTCATCGGAATTAGTCAAAGTTCAACCGGTAAGCGTCGAACGCGCTTAAGCTCACTTAAGGTGAGGATGACCGACTATATTGCTTATAATTATTGGGTTAATTTCATAAGATTACCTAAATGAATTATATGTGTTTGGCATGATTTATTTATAATAAAAAGATGCCTAAATGAGATTATTATTGTTTATAAGTAAAAATGCATAATATACAAATTTATGAACAAATTGTGTATGATTGTGTGTTATGAATACAATGACATAATAGTTGTGTAAACTATAAACTAAATTGTGATAAATATACTTTTACCTCATGTAAGAAAGTCATGGAAGGATAAAAGTGATATTTTGATATTAGAGCCAAGTTATACTTGAATGAGGAATTTAATTGAAATATCCAAATTGTTATGAACTCAAGTTACATTTGGAGTAAGCCTTAGGGGTTACTCAAAATGGATGGAACCTAGACTAAGAAGTGGTTTAGGGATTAATTGACGTGACTATGAGCCGAGCTCTAGCACGTGGTAGGGTGACTATGAGCCGAGCTCTAGCACAAATTAGTATGACTATGAGCCGAGCTCTAGCAAGCGTAGGGTGACTATGAGCCGAGCTCTAGCACAAATTAGTATGACTATGAGCCGAGCTCTAGCAAACGTAGGGTGACTATGAGCCGAGCTCTAGCACAAATTGATATGACTATGAGCCGAGCTCTAGCATGGAAGACATGAGTTAATTATAAATGAATAACATCTTAGATTGAGGGTCTTGGAAATTGAAACTTTGATTATACTTAGTATAGTTGTCATTGTACTTGTCAAATGCTTCCAAGTACTGACCTCCCCTTCACGGGGGAGGCCACCTCACAGTTTCAGGTAGAACTTGAAGGTTGCTACCATCGCCGTTGCTCCAAGAGAATTCAGGAGAAGAAGACGTGGTTCGTGCTTCCTCCGTTCCTGTTTTAAAATCATTTAAATTAATGCTCATGGATGTTATCTTTTGAATAATTATTTGATGGCTTGTATGCCCATGTTTCGCCAAGTGTGGCATGAAGTCTTGAACACTTGTATCAAACGTTTCCGCTGCTTGAAATGAATATTTTACATTATGTTTGTTTATGGATGTACTATGTGTGAATGATATCCCAGACGCCTTGTATAGTATGAATGTGTTGGACTGCGGTTGACTATTCGTACTGTACGGCGGATTGTTGACGTGTCCGGATAGGCCCGGGGCGTGACAATTTAATTGGTATCAGAGCCAGGTTATTTCATAAACTTCATAATGAAGCTTCAAAATCCTTTTTGAAAAAGAATTTGAAAACCATGAGCATAAAGTTTTGTACTTATAGAACTTTTGGTACTTGAGTTGCAAAGTCTCTAATTGTTAAGATGGTACCCTTAACAATTGGCATGGCGGTGATTTGAGCCAAAAGATGTCCCTAAGTACCTATCCGTCACTTGACATTTGATACGAGTCTAACGGCTCATTCTAAACTTCTTTCAGAAATGGAGCCAATTGGAAGGATCACTAGGAGGAACCCGATGGGCCGTGTACCGGGTGGGTCCGAACGCGGCAGTCGGGGGTCCACTAGGGTGTCCAGGGGAAGGGGCCGTGGAGGTCAACAACAAACCGTGAGCGATGGCCACGTGGACACTGAGAGTGAGACTTATTGGTCCTATGAGGACTCAACCTATAGGCCGGAAACCGAGCCGGTGGAAACCCCATATGATGGGGAAGATGACGATGTAAGTGAAGAGAGTGAAGACGATGGCACTCTTGGGAGGATCGAGGCGCTGCTCCAACAATACCACCGGGAGCGCGAAGAGAGGAGACAACGCCGAAGGCGCCGAACGGGGCAACCTTCGGGCATGGCTTCGAGAGGAGGAAGCCAAGGTGCTTCTAGAGTCCATGTTGAACCACATGGAGGCCAAAATGTGGGAGGTCCAACCATAAGGATCTCCAAATTTATCAAAGAAGCACGAGATTTGGGATGTAAACCGTTTGATGGAACGGGAGACATCTCCGTTGCGGCCGAATGGATCAAAAGATTCAACGAGGCGGCCCTTGACATGCAGCTGCCACCCATCATGAAACTGAGGGTGGCAACAAGATTGCTCGAAGGCATGGCGTCCACGTGGTGGGACGGGGTCAAAGGGAAATACGGCGAAGCCGTCACATGGGAGAACTTTCGGCAGGAGTTCTTCAACCAATACTACTCCGACTTCGAGGTAAACATGAAGAGGAGGGAGTATACGAACTTGACACAGGGAGGCGCATGTACGGTGAAGGAACTTGAGCACAAGTTCAGAAAGCTTGCCGAATTCATACCGGAGTACATATGTGATGAGAACCGGATGGTGAACCACTTCTGGGATGCCTTAGACCTTGACATACGCGAGAGGGCAACACAATTGCCTAATATGACGTTTAGTCAAGTGGTTGAACAAGGCCTGAAGGGAGAGAAGGAGTGGGAGGAAAGAAAGCGGAGGAACGCCGATGAGGCGAAGAAGAGGAAGTGGGAAAGCCATGGCCCACAAGGTTCTAACAAAAAGGGGAACCACGGGGGAGGAGGATCGTTCAGGGCACCGGCGCCGCCATCCAAGGGAAACTCGGCTTTCGGCGGGCACAACTCGGGCTCACAAGCCTTGACAGCGCCCAGGTGCCGAAATTGCAACAGGAGCCACGCCGGTAAGTGTCGTGACCCTCCTCGGTGCTACCAATGTGGAGACACGGGGCATCTTAAACCAAATTGCCCTCAACTTGGTGGAAACCGAGGGGCGGGATCAAGCGGCGCTACTACGGCAAGTAGAAGTCGGACCGGAGCACCCCATGCTAGTACGGGGCAGGGGGGAGCGAGCGCCAGCAACGCGCCGTCCGTGAATCAAGGAAGGACGCAAGCTAGAGTCTACGCAATGACCGAGGCCGATGCTCGGGCCAACCCCGACTCCGTTGCAGGTAATACACGTATTCCCATGTATTTCTAGGCTTGCATTGATCATATACGTCGTAGGGATTGAGTGCGGGCCACCCCGGGGTCAAAACCGGGCAAGTTAGGCCAATTCAGCTGGAAACAGCCACTGCCGGCCAGGCACGCTCGCAGGCACGCCGTGCCTGGCATCGTGCCTGGAAGGCAGTGGCAACCGGAAGATTTTTGGCCAGGCACGGTCGCAGGCACGCCGTGCCTGGCACCGTGTCTGGAAGGCAGTGGCACCCGAAGAAAAGAAAAAAAAAAAAATTTGGGCCAGGCACGGCCGCAGGCACGCCGTGCCTGGCGTCGTGCCTGGAAGGCAGTAGCGTCCGAAGTATTTTTGGCCAGGCACGGCCGTAGGCACGCCGTGCCTGGAATCGTGCCTGGCCGGCAGTGGCACGCAGAGTTAGTTCGTTGCACGCACGGTCGTGCGTGCCACCCAGGCACGCCGTGCGTGGACCCCCAACCCCCGAAAATTGATTTTTTCACCCCGTTCTTCTACGTTTGGACCCCCGTTTGATTCCAAACCTTAGTATTGACTTAATAACCTCCTAAAGATGTGTAAAAACATTAGAAAATGTATCTTACATGGTGTATAAATGTAGGAACATTAAAGATCAATGGTAGGTGTGCGAGGATCCTCATCGATACCGGGGCACAACGCTCATTTGTGAGTGAGGCGTTCGCCGAGGGACTTGACGTGCCATTGACACCTATGACGCAAACGTTGCTAGTCTCCACACCGTTAGGGGACGATGTGGAGAGAAATCATTACTATCCATCATGTGAGGTGGAAGTGACGGGTCAACCCTTGACTTGTGATTTCGTACCTCTAAGCATGTTGGAGTTCGATGCAATCCTAGGAATGGATTGGCTTGAGAAGCACCATGCTCGAGTAGATTGCTACACCAAGGTGTTGGAGCTCGAGGATGAGCAAGGAAACACGCTATGTTTCGAAGGAGATCGGGGGAAATCAAATGTTTGCATCATATCCGTGATGAGAGCACGGAAGATGATGAGAAAAGGGTGCCACGCATACCTTGCTTACGTGGTAGATGATACGAAGAAAGAAGTCGACATCAAGGATGTTCGAGTCGTGTGCAAGTACCCGGACGTCTTTCCCAAGGACCTACCGGGGCTTCCACCCGATAGAGAGATTGAATTTGTAATCGAAGTGGAGCCGGGAACCAAACCCATTTCGATTCCTCCTTATCGAATGGCACCGGCCGAACTTCAAGAGTTGAAGGTCCAACTACAAGAACTATTGGACAACGGGTTCATCAGACCCAGTCATTCACCGTGGGGAGAACCCGTACTATTCGTAAAGAAGAAAGATGGTACACTAAGAATGTGTATTGACTACTGACAGTTGAACAAGGTCACCATCAAGAACAAGTATCCCTTACCGAGGATTGATGACTTGTTCGACCAACTTCGAGGGGCAATAGTGTTCTCGAAGATTGACTTGAGGTCGGGGTATCATCAGTTGAAGATCAAGGAGAGTGACATACCTAAGAGTGCATTTCGCACTAGATATGGTCATTACGAATTCCTTGTGATGTCGTTTGGTTTAACCAACGCACCGGCGGCATTCATGGACTTGATGAACCGTGTGTTTAGTGAATACTTAGATCAATTCGTGATAGTATTCATTGACGACATCTTGATATACTCCAAGAGCGAGGAGGAGCACGAACACCATTTGAGGCTTGTACTTGATCGGTTAAGGGAAAAGCAACTCTTTGCCAAGTTCTCAAAATGCGAATTTTGGCTCAAAGAGATTGGTTTCCTCGGTCATGTCATATCCGGTTCGGGCGTTGCCGTGGACAACGCCAAGATTAAAGCTATTATGGATTGGGAGAGACCCAAGAATGTGAAAGAGATACGTAGTTTCCTTGGCTTAGCGGGATACTATCGTAAATTTGTGGAAAAATTCTCCGTATTGGCGTCTCCATTAACGAAGCTCACAAAGAAAGGGGCCAAGTTCATATGGGACGACAAGTGTGAGAAAGGGTTCCTTGAACTGAAGAAACGACTTACCGAAGCACCAGTACTAGCCCTACCTATACAGGGGATAGGGTATGATATCTACAGTGATGCTAGCATCCAAGGGCTTGGATGTGTACTGATGCAAAACGGTCGGGTGATTGCCTATGCTTCTAGGCAATTGAAGAAACACGAGGCGAACTACCCTACCCACGATCTAGAGTTGGGGGCGGTAGTGTTTGCACTAAAGATTTGGAGGCATTACCTCTATGGGGAGACATGTCACATCTTTACCGATCATAAGAGCTTGAAGTACGTATTCACTCAGAAAGAGTTGAACATGAGACAAAGGAGATGGATGGAGTTGATCAAGGATTATGACCTGATCATCGACTATCATCCCGGAAAAGCCAATGTAGTGGCCGATGCACTGAGCAGGAAAAGTACGTCGGGGACACTACTCACATGTCTACGAACCTTGAGGGCACAAGTGGAGGTGTCCACGAGTGGGGTCCTCATTGCTAGATTCGAGGTTAGGCCCACATTGCTGAGTGAGATCAGTAGATGTCAGGCCACTGATGATGAATGCCAGAAGATCCGCGAGAGGATCCTCGAAGGGCCCGTGGAGAACTTTCGGGTACGTGATGACGGTCTTTTATTGTTTAAAGACCGTGTATGCATACCAAAGAGTGAAGAGCTCCAAAAGTCCATACTGGAGGAGGCTCACTCTTCGGCATATGCTATGCATCCAGGAGGTACTAAAATGTATCGAGACTTGAAGGAAAGTTACTGGTGGTCGGGTATGAAGAGGGATATCGCAGAGTACGTGAGTCGATGCCTTACTTGCCAACAAGTTAAGGCAGAGCATCAGCACCCGGCGGGGCTTTTGCAGCCACTAACCATTCCAGAATGGAAGTGGGAGCATGTGACCATGGACTTCGTGGTGGGGTTACCACGAACAGTGAACAACTATGATGCAGTATGGGTAGTGGTTGATAGGCTCACCAAGAGTGCACACTTTTTGCCTATCAACATTACTTATCCTCTTGAGAGATTGGCAAAGCTATACACGGAGGAGATTGTGAGACTACATGGAGTCCCGATATCCATTGTCTCGGATAGGGATCCACGATTCACATCTCGATTTTGGCCCAAGTTTCAAGCATCTTTGGGTACTAAACTGAAGTTTAGCACAGCTTTTCATCCACAGACGGATGGACAATCCGAGAGGGTGATACAGATTTTAGAAGATATGCTTAGGGCATGTGCTTTGGAGTTCCAGGGGAGTTGGGACAAACATTTGGCTCTAGTAGAGTTCGCCTATAACAATAGTTATCAGGCGAGTATTGGCATGCCTCCATATGAGGCATTGTATGGGAGGAAATGCAGGACACCGTTGTGTTGGGACGAGGTTGGCGAGGCCAAGCTCGAAGGGATTGAACTTGTTGAAATCACCAAGGCTAAGGTGAAAGTCATTCAGGATAGACTCAAGGCTGCCCAAGATCGGCAGAAGAGTTATGCCGACAAACGACGAAGGCCATTGGAGTTCGAGGTCGGTGATAAGGTCTTCCTAAGAATTTCTCCTTGGAAGGGTATCATCCGATTTATATCGAGGGGAAAACTCAACCCCCGATACATTGGCCCATTTGAAATTCTTGAAAGGATAGGGGTCGTGGCATACCGTCTGAAGTTGACGCCAGAACTTGAGAAGATACACGACGTGTTTCACGTATCGATGCTCAAGAAATACGTGAGAGATCCGTCTCATATTCTTGAGAAGCCACCGGTAGAGATACGTGAAGATCTACAATATGCGGTGGAACCAGTAAAGATTGTGGGCCAACAGGTGAAGAAACTGAGGAACAAAGAGATTCCTATGGTAAAGGTTCTTTGGAGGAGTGATCGAGTCGAAGAAGAAACCTGGGAGACCGAGGTCTCAATGAGGGAGCAATACCCGTTTCTTTTCAATTAGACACGTGGATTTCGGGGACGAAATCCCAAATAAGGGGGGGTGAACTTGTAACACCGTCCCTAAATGTATTTACTTTTAAAGTGAATATTGTATTTTAACCTTATGAAATGGTTGACGAATTTACGAGGTTATGAAATTTTATTAATTTTTGCGTGAATAGTAAGTTCGCACGTGGGGCCCGCACCGGGAGCGGGGGCCGCCCGATATTCCCGGGACCACATAAATTATTCATCTTGGTCTAGATAATATTTATATGGTGGTGGATAATTCATTTGAACCATGGAAAGGTCTTGAGTTGACCGATTGGTCAAAAGAGGCCCAAGTACCGGTATTGGCAATTTAACCGATAAAAGCCCAAAATCTAATTTCGGGGACTTATAAATTAAAATTGGGGAATGAATATTCATTATAAGGGTTATAATGATGGAGAACACATAATATATTTTATTTGACCCGATAAAATGAAATATATTTAAAACAGTCCGAAAAAATACAACTTTCAGGACAAAGTGTACACTTCTGGACAAAAGGGGTTGACCTCCCACATGGGTGGGGGCCAACCCACGAAATTAGACACATTTTTTCATGCCTTGGCCGGCTGGGTGGTGGAAGGGGCATGGGTGATGTGTGTGAAGTGAAAGAAGAAGCATCAAACAAAAAAAAAGGGGGACCACATCCACCCCATTTGATCTTTGAGACAAAAGATCATCCCCTCACCTCTCTCTCCCTCATTTCTCTCGGCCAGAACCAACCCCAGCAAGAAAAGAAAATCCCCATCCTCCCTTTTCCCATCCTTGAAGAGAGCTCAAGCAATAGAAGTCCAAGGGGAAAGATTAAAAGGAGAAAAAGCTAGGAAAAGTGAGAAAGATTAAGGTAATAACCTTATATTAACTTTTCCTTTATTTTTCTTCTATCATATGTGATATATATCATATGAAGGACCTTGAGGTTGTTCTACATAATTAAAGTGTGGAATAATAGGTTGGAGAGTGGTTCTAAGTCCAAACACGGACTTAGGAACCAAACCGACAAGTTCACCGGAAAATAACCTTTTAAAGGTTATTTGTTTTGATTAAGGTTTTATGATGTTAAAACCTTGTTAGGAACTTGATTAGAGCATTTTCGAGCTTCGCCGGAGTTTCGCCGGAGTTGGTCAAAGTTCGCCGGAGTTGGTCAAAGTTCACCGGAATTAGTCAAAGTTCAACCGGGAAGCGTCGAACGCGCTTAAGCTCACTTAAGGTGAGGATGACCGACTATATTGCTTATAATTATTGGGTTAATTTCATAAGATTACCTAAATGAATTATATGTGTTTGGCATGATTTATTTATAATAAAAAGATGCCTAAATGAGATTATTATTGTTTATAAGTAAAAATGCATAATATACAAATTTATGAACAAATTGTGTATGATTGTGTGTTATGAATACAATGACATAATAGTTGTGTAAACTATAAACTAAATTGTGATAAATATACTTTTACCTCATGTAAGAAAGTCATTGAAGGATAAAAGTGATATTTTGATATTAGAGCCAAGTTATACTTGAATGAGGAATTTAATTGAAATATCCAAATTGTTATGAACTCAAGTTACATTTGGAGTAAGCCTTAGGGGTTACTCAAAATGGATGGAACCTAGACTAAGAAGTGGTTTAGGGATTAGTTGACGTGACTATGAGCCGAGCTCTAGCACGTGGTAGGGTGACTATGAGCCGAGCTCTAGCACAAATTAGTATGACTATGAGCCGAGCTCTAGCAAGCGTAGGGTGACTATGAGCCGAGCTCTAGCACAAATTAGTATGACTATGAGCCGAGCTCTAGCAAACGTAGGGTGACTATGAGCCGAGCTCTAGCACAAATTGATATGACTATGAGCCGAGCTCTAGCATGGAGGACATGAGTTAATTATAAATGAATAACATCTTAGATTGAGGGTCTTGGAAATTGAAACTTTGATTATACTTAGTATAGTTGTCATTGTACTTGTCAAATGCTTCCAAGTACTGACCTCCCCTTCACGGGGGAGGCCACCTCACAGTTTCAGGTAGAACTTGAAGGTTGCTACCATCGCCGTTGCTCCAAGAGAATTCAGGAGAAGAAGACGTGGTTCGTGCTTCCTCCGTTCCTGTTTTAAAATCATTTAAATTAATGCTCATGGATGTTATCTTTTGAATAATTATTTGATGGCTTGTATGCCCATGTTTCGCCAAGTGTGGCATGAAGTCTTGAACACTTGTATCAAACGTTTCCGCTGCTTGAAATGAATATTTTACATTATGTTTGTTTATGGATGTACTATGTGTGAATGATATCCCAGACGCCTTGTATAGTATGAATGTGTTGGACTGCGGTTGACTATTCGTACTGTACGGCGGATTGTTGACGTGTCCGGATAGGCCCGGGGCGTGACACTAACGCTACTGAACAAAGCCCAGTTAATGAGATTTCTTTGTATTTAACATATGACGTTGATTTTGATGAAAATGAGGACTTCGATGTTCTAAAGTGGTGGAAGTCAAAAGAAAGAATGTCCCCGATTTTAGCACGGATGGCTAAGCAAGTGCTATCAATGCCGGTTTCAATAGTTGTCGTAGAACAAGAATTTAGTTCGGCCGGCAACGTCCTAACGGCATCTAGAGCAAGTTTGAGCGCAGAGTCTCTTGAGACGATTATATGCTACCACGATTGGTTGAAGGCCATACATAGAATTCGATCAAGAAATGAGCATCACCCCCTCCCAAGACTTTATGGATGAATCAACAACCGAGGGTGGCTCTACCTATGCCGGAGATTCCGATTGATTAGTATTTTACAATTTATTATAAAATGTATTTCATGTTCTAATTTTTCCCTCAATTCTCTATTTTAATTTGTAAACTTGTAGTTCATATTTCAAATAAATATACGTTCATTTTTTTTATATCTAGCGCTTCTCAAATTAATTAATTGGTTACAACTTAGAATTAATTATATTATTATTTATTAGAAAATGTATTTCATGTTGTATTTTTGTTCTCAATTATCAAATGTAGTTCCTATTTCACATAAATGCACTTGAAGCTTGTTTTTAATATGCAAAAGTTGTATAAATAAGTAGAAAAGGGGAAAAAAAATTATAGGCCCGACCCGACCCGGTGGGTGGCCCGGCCCGGGACCCGGGCGGGTGAACCGGCCTCAGCACGGGCCGGGCTCGGGCCTGCTCCCAAATTTCCTAGGCCCGACCCGGCTCGGGTCCACACGTAATTAGGAGCCTAACAGTGAGCATCATTGAACTCTGCTTCATACCTTATATATCACTTTCTGTTTATTATTTTTTCGTTTATTAAAAAGTCTTAAGTTATGTCTATAATCAATTTCAATATGTGAATCTATTGTAGTATGATATGTTTGAAATGTGCAACCTTTTAAAATGAGCATAAAGCACTACCAAATGAGTATACATAACTTACAAAATGAGTATCAAAAAAATAAAAAAATGCATTTGTGTGTTCTCATTCATTTTGGACGTTTTACTCATTTGAATTTAACATAAAACTCATTTCTAATATAATATGATATGTCTGAAATGTCCTACCTTTTAAAATGAGCATAAATCGAATCCAAATGAACATACATAACTTACAAACTGGGTATCAAAAAATTCAAAAGCTCATTTGTGTATGCTCATTCATTTTGGGCGTGACACGCATTTGAGTTTAACATAAACACTCATTTCTTATGTGTTCAATATTCATCTATGTATATTCGTTCATTTTAGACATTATAGTCATTTGATTTTAATATTAAACTCATTTGGATACAATATGACAGATCCACAAAGAGCTTTCAACCCCTTTCCCTTCTTCTTTCTATAAGATAGCTCGGAAACAGGGGGTGGGAATAATCTGAATCTCAGGTCAAAAGCGAAGCCATGTTTCGCTGCACCAATCGATCTGAGTATGTGGCAGCTTGGGCTGCTTCGCGAGTTGGAGACCTGGGCAGTCGATGTTCCGTCTTTGTTGATGTCCTTCTTCGTCTTTGCAGATGAGTTGCAGCCGGGTTCGTGTTCAATATTCATGGTATAGCCAGCTGTACCGTGCGCATGGTATAGCCAGCCGGGTATTACCATAATTAATTAACCATATTAGTTACATATTAATATTAATCATATAAAAGTTGTTAGATTAAAATATTAATCTAGTTGCATTTTAGTTAATTTTACTATACTTGTTACATTATCATTTTAATTTACCATATTTGTTACATATTAATATTAATCATTTAAAAGTTGTTATCTAAAAATACTAAAGTGGTTGCATTTTAGTTTATTTTACTATACTTCTCACATGCATTATCATATTAATTAATCATATTTGTTAGATATTAATATTAATCATATAAAAGTTGTTAGCTTAAAATATTAAAGTAGTTAGTTGCGTTTTAGTTAATTTTACTATACTTGTCCCATTATCATATTAATTAAAAAAATATTTATTTCATATTAATATTATTCATATAAAAGTTGTTAGCTTAAAATATTAAAGTAGTTGCATTATAGTTAATTTTACTATAGTTGTCACATTATCATATTAATTAACCATATTTGTTACATATATTAATCATATAAAAGTTATTAGCTTAAAATACTAAAGTAGTTGCATTTTAGATAATTTTACTATACTTGTTAGATTAAACTATTAAAGTAGTTGAACTTTATTTGTACTCACAATTCAATATTTTATGGACTTGTAGACTAGTCACATTTTAATATAAAAGTCACATTTTTGTTAAATTATCATACTACTTACATTTTAATATAAAAGTCACATTTTTATTTTAAAGTCACATTTTAATTGTACTCACAAATAAGTATTTGTTACAAATTACTTACATTTTAGGTACATTAAACTCATATTTTCTTACATAAAGTGAAATTTTAGTTACCTTTTATATTAGTTGCATTGTATTTGTACTCACATTAACATATTTGTTAGAATTTAATATTTGTTACATTTTAAGATGAGTAACCTCGCAATCGAAAGAAGGAGATTGCGAAGAAGCATCCTAATTCGCGAGGCAAAAGTTAAGGAAATGTCGGGTCTTCTTCTCAAAGTCGATATGATTTTGAGATGACTTACAACCAGAGAGATGCAATGTCCGACGAGCAACTATCTCAACAACAAGACATTGCCGAGATTAACAAAGAGCTTGAGGATGACGACGATGAGGAGCCGGCGATAGCCGAGGAGGAACAAGACGACGAGCAAACCCCCAATGAGGACGAGCCTGGTTCATCCCAACCCGGTAAGAAAAATGAATCTCTCCTTATGAAAAATAATTTCAAAAAGTGGAAAGAAACGGATAGCGAGAAGTGATGGGCAACTTGCAACCATTGTAACAAAAATATAACTTTGGGATTTCACATAGGCATGTAAAGGCTCGTCACCCCGTGGAGTATACGAAACTAAAAGGCAAGGGAACGCAAACACATATATCGAGCTTTGCAAATGGCTTACCGTTTGGTAATTTCTCTTATGATGATTCCAAACATTTAAGTATTTAACTGCTATTTTGAATTAATTGTTGAAGAAAATTCACCTTATATATTTTCTAAAAGTCTTGCTTTACGTGCTAATGCTCAAAGTTCATTAAATCCTCAATTTCGAAACTACAGTCGCAAAACCATTAAAAAAGAAGTTACAAGGCAATATGTTTTAGAAAAGGATATATTAAAAACTTTTTTCACAAACTTTGACGGATGTGTTAGTATTTGTAGTGATATATGGGAGGATACTTATCATCATTTGTATTATCTGGATGTGATTGTACATTATATTGATGCTAATTGGGATATGCATAAACGTGTTATCACTTTTCGAGAATTTAATGACCGACACACCAGTGATAATATTTATATTCTCATTGAGCGTATTATAACTGAATATAATTTGATTGATAAAGTTTTTGCTATTGGTTTTGATAATGCTAGTAATAACATTGCTGTTATACCTAGATTGCGTGAATTGGCCTTGGGGAAGGTTGTGGACTTGACTATTTTTCGAGTACTCAAGTTCTGCATAAACAATTGCAATTGTGGCACCAACATGACAACTTTCCAGGGTTGACGTCACCCGGATGGTAACACACAGAAGATTCTAGGCTTACACGTTGGCTTCCTTATGCAGTCCAGTACAAAAGGAATCAATTCGGTTATCCATAGTACCAATCAACCGGCTGTACATGTTCTCTTACCAATCAAGCTTAATTTACACGTGTCACTTTACTATTAGACTAGCATATTTTTACTTGTTGCCCAAATATTACACTTTACATTATAAATATTACCTTCCAACTTGTGAAAAGGGATCGCCATTCTCACGTTCAAGCTGACTGTTACTCTTCCCAATTTTATACTCAATCTGTATGGAGTACTTTTCAGTCTCTCCTTCTCACTTTTCCGCTACCCCGGCCCTAGGGTCGGTAAAGCCATCAATAAGTAAGTAAATAAATAAGTATATACACATACTCTGGATTGATTATTGAGTGTACAAGGCTGGGCTTATCGGTGTAAACATGCCTACACCCTTTTTCAAGCCCGCCCATGTATGATAACGGGCCCGATCCAATCCATCGGTGGGCCGAATGGGTTGACATATTTTTGTACAGATCCACAATTTACGTGTACATTGGTTCACATTGATTTTGATGTAAGTTCATCCGCCTTTAGTTGGTCATTACAAGATACTCCGCATTAGATATATAAATGATGCGATTGACAATATTGTCTTCACGTTTGATTTAAATATAATACGGTTGATCACATTTCCATTCACCATTAATCATCTTAAATCATAATGGTAGGCGGATTAAAGCTATGCATGTCTTCTAGTATACTGCGGGGCTACGAACCAAATCCATGTGACGAAATAAACATACATATACTACAAGTTTAGGTATTCCTATGCTTTTAATTTGCTATATATCTGAATAACTATGATTGGAACAAATTTTCTCAGATCAATACAATAATCGTTGAATCAGATAAATACATACATATACGCATAAACCATCACAAATACAAATATTAAATTGTTTCATTCTGCATTATTGCTCCAACAAAGACTGATTCTCGATCGGTCTCATATCCAGAAAGCTAAAATACAAAACGGAGTAAATAAATTAAAAAAAAAATCCCGACATATCAAAGTATTATTGACAGGTGCATTCTAGTTTCTACTGTACGAAAAGATGAAAACGAAGAATGCGACGTTAAACAATGAACCATAAGTTATTATTATTAATTATTATTAATTTATTATTTTTATTTGACAAGTCAAGTGGGAGGCAATATATATAAATATATATAATAATGGTTAGTGGCAAACACCAGTACATTTAATAAAAACCAGAAATTTTCTAGCTGCCGTTTGACACCGTTTGGGCGGATTATTTTTTTTATGGAGTTAACTTTTTTCGATGTGTGTTTAATTCCGGGAAGCAAATAACAATATCGTAAATTTCGTAGGCAGCGGTATTATTAGGCACCATTTAAGGAGTAAGGAGGAGCACCAGCTAGCATAAACGCATGTTTAGAAACTAATGATTACTAAAAAGTTTAGCCAGTGTCAAACATAGTTTTAAATCATGTTCAGCATAATTAATTAGCTAAAAAGATTTTGCGAGCTTTTAAGTAATTATTACTCCGTAGTTTTTAATGACTGAAAAAATCTTGAAAGTAAAAAGGTGACAACTGTTTGATAAAAGCATGACTGTTTGATATAGTTCTCAAAACAGATCTTTTATTTTTTATAGGAAAAAATTGAAAACAATTATCTTAACTATTCTCGATTTGATGTTAATAATCATAATTATCGATTACGCCTGGATGGTCCCAACTATATGGACCATTTGTTTTCAAAATCGGGTACA